CGCAACTACTGAGCCCATGTGCTGCAACTACTGAAGCCCGCATGCCTAGAGCCCGTGCTCCACCACAAGAGAAGCCACAGTAATGAGAAGCCTGCGCACCACAACGAAGGGTAGCCCCTGCTCGTCGCAACTAGAGAAAGCCCGCGTGCAGCAACGAAGACCCAACACAGCCAAAAAAAATAATTCCAGTGTGGGTCATGACTCTGCCATGGAGCCTGCAGCCAAATCTGAAGCTTGAATAGTCACTGGTGGTACTCAGTCCTCACCCCCGTGGCATCTCCTTTACCATTTCTGGACACACTGGCCTGACTTCAAATGGCCAGTGCCTATATCTTATCAGAAGGCTACTCTTGGGCCGTCCATGAAAAATCAGGACAGAAGTACCTGGAGGGCTTCCCTGGTGGCGCAGTGCTTGAGAGTCCGCCTGCCGATGCAGGAGACGCGGGTTCGTGCCCCGTTTCGGGAGGATCCCACATGCCGCGGAGCGGCTGGGCCCGTGAGCCATGGCCGCTGAGCCTGCGCGTCCGGAGCCTGTGCTCCGCAAATGGGAGAGGCCACAACAGTGAGAGGCCCGCATAACGCAAGAAAAAAAAAAAAAAAATAAAAAAATAAAAAAATAAAAAAATAAAAAAAAAAAATAAAAAGAAGTACCTGGAAATTATATTTTTGTGCTTCCCCCACCCTCCAAGCAGCTTTTAACCACTTTCTGACTAGTGTGGGTGTATAAATACCCCAGCTCCCTTGCCTGGCGTAAGTCTGGTTAATGAGCTTTGCACTGTTCTCAAGCTTCCACTTGAGATTAAGGATCCGTTGCCCACTATGCTTTCTGCCTTAATACCATACCCTATATTGACTGACTTCCCTTTCTTGTATCACTTCCTCCTTCACCTCCCTGTCTCCCTTGAATCTGCCAATAAACTGCTTGCACTCAAATTCTTGGCCCAGAAGCTGCTTCTGAGGGAACTTCAGCTAAGACAAAGCTCCTCTCTACCAATTTCCTAGATCCAACTGCTTTGCATATTTCTGTTCTTCTTTTTCCCCTAGTTCTGAGGTTTTATTTACATTTTATGATTATTCTACTGTATGCTTTCTTGTTATCTGTTACCTCAACACCTTTGCAGAATAAAACATACTGGAACTAATTTTTAGAAGAAAAAACCATCATGTAATACTACGATTAAAATACAAGATGTAAAGGGTTTATAGAATATGATCCGAATTTAGAAAAATACATATGTACATATGTGTGTCCATAGGGAAAAAGAATAGAAAGAAATGCACCAACCAACAAGGAGCTATTGTATAGCACAGGGAACTATACTCAATATTTTGTAATAACCTATAAGGAAGGGAGAAGAATCTGAAAAAAACTGACATATGTGTATGTATAACTGAATCACTTTGCTGTACACCTGAAACTAACACAACATTGTAAATCAACTAACCTTCAATTTAAAAAAATGACCAAAATGTCAACCATGGTCAACTTTAGGTGATGTCATTACAGATGGTTTTTTTCTCTTCTTTATTTTACAAAGAACATGAAGCTTCAGTTTCCTCATCTATAAAACAGGGATAATCACACTTCACACATATGAATCACATGTCACATATATGAATTGTGTTGATTGAAATTGTGGTTAATCTATGAAATTAGCTGCATCACATATTCACATAATAATCACAGTATGTGCCTAATTATGTACCCCAATAAAGGGTTGCAAGTGCTGTTATTACATCAGCGATTAATGAAACAATTTAAGGACATGTGAGAAATGAGAAAGTAAAAATAAGCCCATACTTACATAGTGCTTTGTTCTTTTTAAAGAACATTCACTTATATGAACTCATTATCCCTGGCAAGAACCCTGCGAGAGGGGCAGGCTTAGGGGCAGGGTGTGGGAAGGAGACAGGACTAATATTTACTCAACAGCTACAATGTGCCAGATACCAAGGTGGGCACTTGTAGTATCTCAGAAGAGGATGGGGCTCAGAATGTTAAGGAACCGGCCCAACGTACAGGCAGGGTCAGTAGCTCCAACTCCAGACTCTCGGTCCAGGTTTCCTTCTATTCCATCAGGCTTCATTATTCTATTTGTGCCCCCGGATGACTGTGTGCTTATATGCCCACCCATCCACGACATCCGCGGTTCCTCTGGCATTGGTGTTCATCAGTCTTTACACACACTCTGCTCCTTCCTACGTCCATGGCCATGGGAAGTACAAACGGCGAGGGGCCTGTGGAGGGCGTGGGGAGGACTTAGCTCCCCAATCTCCCACCAAAACCACCCCCAAATGAATAATCTAAATCAAAACCCTGTACCAGCTACACAGACATAGCAGATTCAAGGAAAGTTCCACAGCAACCCTTCCCAATCAGTTTGCTCACCCCAAGTCCTCCCTACATAGAAGTTCTGGAACTGCCTTTTAAGAAATGGGAGGACTTAGGCAATTCTGCTAAGACAGTCCAGTGGAGAACGTGGGCTGGGGGAGAGAACTGTGGAGGGTATTACTCTGTCTCCATCCCCATCAGGGCCCGTGTTCTGGTCATCGTGGAGAATGCTATGAAAGTCTTTCTTACCAGATACCCAGTTACCGTGGTGTCATAATGGCCCACAGATGGGCAGGGCCGCCTGAAATAAGAGAGGGTTGCGGTAGTGAGCTGGGCAGTTCAGCACAAAGCACTTCAGACGCAGCCCGTGTATCCGGAATCATGCCAGTCCTCTCCACCTTGCCTCCTACTCACCACCTGAAGCCCTGGGCTTCTAGACTAACCCTGGGAAGTCTTTCTTGACTAACCAGGCCTGAGGCTGATCCCTGTGGTACCTCGTGTTCCTTCTCCTGGAAGAACGTCTACCAAAGACAACCTTGCGTGGGAGCTTCAAAGAAGTCCGCCTTGTCACCGCCTCACTGACAGCTCTCCCGGCGGCACAGGGGCTACGGCAGCCAAGCCCCTGCACAGCCCCCTGCCGGCCCTGCTGCGGCTCCGGCTCTGGTGCTCCGGCAGCCAGCCGGGAGCCGCTCCCTTTCTGCGCAGCCTTTCAAAGCCCCCTCCTCCGCTCCAGCTCTCTGCTTTCTTCAGAATTTCTACAGCATCTTTCCCAACCCCCTTATCACTCAAGTATGCTTTACGCATGAACAGTCCTTAGGAATGTGGTGCAAAGACTCGCAATCTTTTTCCTTTCCTTTCCTTTTTCCTTCTGCTGGTAATAAAGGCATAACTGACGGCAGCCATGAGACAAGCTTGCTCAAAAACTCTCAATAGCTTCCAATTGCCTCTAGATAAGCTCTAGCTCCTGAGTCTGTCACTACAGTTCCCCCCTCCATCCCATTAGCCAGGAGACTCCCCTAGCTTTCCTTCCACTGCTCCCTACAGATCAGGGAGCTCACTGGACCCTGAACGCAATTCTCTCCTCCTCCGGAGTGTAAAGCACCCCGTGTTCTGGTCATCGTGGAGAATGCTATGAAAGTCTTTCTTACCAGATACCCAGTTACCGTGGTGTCATAATGGCCCACAGATGGGCAGGGCCGCCTGAAATAAGAGAGGGTTGCGGTAGTGAGCTGGGCAGTTCAGCACAAAGCACTTCAGACGCAGCCCGTGTATCCGGAATCATGCCAGTCCTCTCCACCTTGCCTCCTACTCACCACCTGAAGCCCTGGGCTTCTAGACTAACCCTGGGAAGTCTTTCTTGACTAACCAGGCCTGAGGCTGATCCCTGTGGTACCTCGTGTTCCTTCTCCTGGAAGAACGTCTACCAAAGACAACCTTGCGTGGGAGCTTCAAAGAAGTCCGCCTTGTCACCGCCTCACTGACAGCTCTCCCGGCGGCACAGGGGCTACGGCAGCCAAGCCCCTGCGCACAGCCCCGCCGGCCCTGCTGCGGCTCCGGCTCTGGTGCTCCGGCAGCCAGCCGGGAGCCGCTCCCTTTCTGCGCAGCCTTTCAAAGCCCCCTCCTCCGCTCCAGCTCTCTGCTTTCTTCAGAATTTCTACAGCATCTTTCCCAACCCCCTTATCACTCAAGTATGCTTTACGCATGAACAGTCCTTAGGAATGTGGTGCAAAGACTCGCAATCTTTTTCCTTTCCTTTCCTTTTTCCTTCTGCTGGTAATAAAGGCATAACTGACGGCAGCCATGAGACAAGCTTGCTCAAAAACTCTCAATAGCTTCCAATTGCCTCTAGATAAGCTCTAGCTCCTGAGTCTGTCACTACAGTTCCCCCCTCCATCCCATTAGCCAGGAGACTCCCCTAGCTTTCCTTCCACTGCTCCCTACAGATCAGGGAGCTCACTGGACCCTGAACGCAATTCTCTCCTCCTCCGGAGTGTAAAGCACTTTTAGTTTCCAGAGCCCAATCAGGCCAACACTTAGC